GACAATTGAAGTAATCTGTAGACATTCCACGGCATATCGGTGTCAATCCAGAGCCTAATCCTATTAGCCGCACCTTTTTTTATTCTGAGGCCAATATTTTGCTGAGCACTTTGTCACACAATGATCATTTGCCAGCGCGCAGGAAACCGTCTGGCGCCGTCAGTGGAATTACTCCAGCATGTCAGTCCATACCTGGAGGCTATGAGGTGTATTATAAGAATGCAGATCAGAGTGTCAGCACGGTGCTTGTGGCTGCAGGGTGTGTATTTTTAGACTTCTCAGCCAGGTGTGTTTTTCTTTTTCAGTGAAAGAAATGCAGGCGTGTACCCTATGTATAGTGACAAATGGCTGCGCAGACGATTGTTTTAGACGTCTGCTTTACCTTGCTGTATGGCTGGTGAGGATAAAGCTGAACTCCAGGCAAACAGCTAATTACACAAATGAAATACATATACGAGGGCTGTTTAACCTGATAAAAAGAATTTGTATGACTGTCCATCCAATGCTGAGGTTTATACAGCTCAGGCTCACTGTATAGCCCTCCCTGGCAGAGCAGGGGACCTGATCTTTCTATGCTGCAGTTCTACTTTAACTTACAGGTCCCCCTCTAACCCCCACTTTGTAACTGGACTATGAAAGGGTTGCCCACACAGGAACACGCGATACCATAATTCCGTACGTTCCAGTGCGATGCAACTTGGGTCGTGACTTAATGACCAAGGACAAACGTGGGTCCCGAGGTTACACAGGTTGAGAACCACTGTGCTAGTCCATCTAACACTGCCCTCTCCACAGGTTAACAATGCTGCTGTCCAGGGGTGGCTCTATTGCACCTTCAGGCTCCATTCACTCTTGGTGCTAATGATTACCATCACACAATCCTCCAGGAGTAGTCTTTCTTGTAAATATCCACAGCTTTTGGAGAGGCCGCTCGTCAAAGAGACTCTGGGGTTCTCATCAGATACATAGAAGACAAAAGCAACAAAGTGCCACCTCCTTGTGTGAAATCTTTTTTTATTTGAATAGTAAAAATGGTTATAAAACTTTAGTCACCCTACCATTGTGTCACTGGCTGCTTTTAGGCTGGTAGCCAGCCTAAAAGCAGCCGGTAGTACGATGGTATGTTGATGTGACCGGAGGCAGCTTTTTATACGCAGTCAGAGTGGAACATTCCTTAGACCAGGAGCGCCCACAATTTTTCGTCTGAAGGTCTACTTTTCAAATGACGAGCTCAATGAGATCTGCATTCAGTGGCGGGAGGGGGCTCGGCAAGTCAATGGCACCGCAGCCACGGCGCTCACCCGCAGTGCGATCGCCCGAACCCGGAACGCAGGAACATTAGTGCCTGCTTTTCGGTCCAGTGCGATCGTCAAAAATGCTGCAAACACTATTTTTGCAGATTGAACTGGACCGGAATGCAGGCACTAATGGGCTTGCATTCCGGGTGCAGGCGATCGCACTGTGGGTGGGGGGCATGGCTGCGAGCCCATCATAGTCTCAGATGGGCTGTGCAGGATCTATGGTTGGCTCTGCAGGGTCTCAGGTAAATCCAGAGCCCAGCACATTACTAAGCCCATATATACCTATACATGCTATACATAGCATAAAGGTAAAAAACGATATATGCCGTGTTATCTTCATTTTAGATGTCAAAAGGGTTTTGTGGCTCCCGGTGTTTTCTTTTCTGTGGGAAACGAGTCCAAATGGCTCTTTGAGTGTTTAAGGTTGCTGACCCCTGAGCTAGACAATACGCCTAGGGGTGAATGGAGCCTCATAGAGTGGAGTCACCCCTAGATAGGAAGTATGTTACTGGCTGGATTAACAGGTGAAAAAAAGATAAGCTTTAAGGCTCCATTTATACCTAAGCGTCAGCCTTTAAAGCGTTTTTTTTAGGCTTTTTTTTACGTGCATCGATGTGAGTTTGTTAAGTTTTTTTTTTGCAAAGAGGAAAGCTGGCTCTTGCAAGGGGAATTATCCAACAACTCAGACAGAAATTATGGAGACCCAGATAGCAGTAAAAATGCTGGTATGGATTTTAACCCTTCTCTACCTTATCCAAAACGAATAAAAAACTGTTTTGGCTGGATACACTTGAACAGCGTTCCCACGCAAGATCACTTGCACCAAAGAAGTGGCGGCTTCCCCACTGTACATTTAGCTCTGCTTGCCCAAAGCAGGGCTAAATGTAGATAACTACCTGCACGGCGCCTGGAACTGCATGTCCAGGGCATCGGAATTCCACACCCCTGCTGCCCCAAGGCCAACTGTGGGAAATCCGGCCCTGGATGAAGGAGGTATTGCTGGTATGGATGTGAGCAGTATTTTTGGCCTTGGATACCTCTATTGTGTTCTGGCAGCAGGTGAACTTTGAACGGATTCATTTTCTCACATCATCTGATTCACGTCCCGATCCTTATAAGTACAATTTTCCCCTCTGTCAGTTACTAGTGACACTACAAATCCTCTTTCCGGAGGGAGACGAACAGATCGGTCATGCACATCTCACCTTTTTTTTTTTGCTTAGGATAAGCGGAACCAAAAACATATTTCACATATTGTGAGCGCTCAGATAAGATTATTCTTCATCATTCATTTATCAAAGCAGCTTTTACGTTACAAAGATCACAGAGGACTAGTCTGTGTCACGGCCAGCTGGCAGACAAATAGGGCATGCCTAATGAACGTTTTGTCTTCAAATCTTCAATTCCAAAAGATACATGTGATATAGTGCAACCAATCAAAGTCTAACGTGGAACAAAAAGTCTCAGCATGACTGCTTAGGATGTTAAAGGTCCAGGCACGTGTGTTCTACAGACCATGAAAAAGGATTTAAAGGTTCCCTGTGCCATCAACTGTTCAATAATCACTCTGCAGCTGTATTTCGTGCAGCCGGATGAAATTTGTTTGCTGTGTTTATTATCCGTTAATTTTTTTATGAGATTGTTTCATGAGGCCATTAATAGAGCAGTGATGTGAGACCACTTTCCTTCACTTTAGAGAAGATACAGCAATGTTAGGTATTTCGTTTTATAGAATAAAAATAATAAAACTAAAGTGATATTAAAGTCAAAAGGTTTTTATTCTATTTCAAATGCTGATGAAATCACTTACATTGGAGACTGCTCCTTGATGTTTAAAAGTTTTAGTTACCTGCAGAATCAGCTGGTCCCCTGAGCACTGGTCCTGATATCTTGTTTTAGGGTGGCTCCTTTCCCTTTCAGGATTCCAAGGAGCCACCCTTGTGTGTGCTAGTAAGCTGTGTGTGCCTCCACAAACACACAGGCGCAGCAAGAAAAGTCTCTGCCCTGCTCCCTGCTTCTCCTTTCTCCCTCTTCGCTTCTCCAAGCCTGTAGATGGACAGCTGCTGTAGACTGCTCTGTGTTTGTGATCTTGTACTGGAAAGGAAGTTTAGGGTAGCTGAGCTGAGAGAGTTAGAGCTGTTTGAAAACATTATGACTGTAAGTGTTTAGGCAAGAATGCAATGAAATACTTTGCTGGGCAATGTATATTTTTTTAATCTAAATGGAAGAGGTTTGAGAATCTAATACTACTTTAAAGCTTGACTCTGGGCAGAAATAAAAGACACAAAATAATGTATTAATGAATACTTGTAAGCAGTACCTGTATTTGACCTAACATCAGCTTCTTGCAGTCTGCTGCAAAGCAGCCCTCAGATGGGAGGAGGAAGGAGTAGCAGAAGAAGCCATATGTGCTGCAGTGGTTATGTGCTAACATGAGACATGTTGAGAGGAGGAAATAACAGAGTGACAGAGAGATGGGCTCATCAGTCTACCACTACACCTTTCACTGTCCAGTCACAGGCTGGAGGAGAAATGAGACTAAGCTCCCGTTCACACTATAGCGTTCCCTTAATGGCATGGTATCATGTGTTACCATGCGCTAAGTGCATTGTGTTGCCATTCATTTGAATGGAACCCCAGAACACACACCCTGCCGATGCCGTAAGCTGCATTGGGGTGTCATTCAAATTAATTCCAACACAAAGCACCTCCCGCATAGTAACACACTTTAGGTGCGCTGTGCAAGATCATGCATTAAATGCAGGGTATTGTGCAATTAACACAACACTATGTTGTGAATGGGCCCTAACTGCAGCAGAGAAAGATCAGGTCCCTTAGCATTTGGGACCCTAAAGGACCTTAACCTCCCCCTTGGTGCCCAGCTATTCCATAGCCTGTCTAGGGACTTTTAGCAACCAGCTGCCCCAATTTAAACTGACCACCCTCTGTGGCAACCGATAAAGGGAGATCCAGACTGTAGATGTGATGCTGAAGGAGAGAGAGGTTAGGGGATAGGAACATCCAGGCTGGTGTAGATTCCTTTAACTGTTAGAGCAAAGTGACTGCTGCCTTCACAGACTAGGCCCTTTAAGCCATATGTGTGTTTGGAGTTCCTGGCCAAGCAGCATGTCAGATGTCATCCATCTTGTCAGGAACAGACTCTCCAGTCACAGCAGAGACTCACTTCTCAGATTCCCCATGCCTGTTGAAGTTACTCTGTCATCTCCATCCTTAGTATCAGCCACTGGGCCCCCATACTCAGGCCTCAGTGCAAACACATGGCTAGTCCCTAGGCTTCAGGCCTAGCCAATTCAGACAGTCCATAGCAGCCCCCCCCCCCCCAGGCAGGGCCTAAGGAAAAGAAAAAAAAGAGAGCCTCACCGATCCACCCCGAATATTTATGTCCTCCCCCAGCATGCACCACTGGCCATGAACCTCCTAGTGATTGGCCAGGGAGACATAGATACTGATGGCAATCTCTTATTGGTTGCTCTGCTCTGTGGCAAGGATACACCCAGCAGTACGCAGATGCAAACAATGAAAGACTGCTTAGGGGAAACCAAATGAGCATACACTTTAGTTTATCATCAGACTGAATACAATCTGACAATAACCAAATTTACTAAGCACTCCTGGTTACAGGGTGCTACAGTAGCATTGTTTTTCTGCTAATTAAACATGCTTTCATGTTTGTCACAGGAGGAAACAAGCTAAAGAATCAGCACTTCCGTCTGAACTGGGCCTGGATTTCAATAGAAAAGGAGTACTATGTCGTGAATGAAGACGCTAAACATTTAGAAATCATCCTGAGGCGTAGAGGATACCTCGGAGAAACCACATTTGTCAGTAAGTTGTTGAAATTCTTATCTCTTAATATTGCTCATCAAAATAATAACTATGTGATGCTGTGTAAAATTACAAGACTCTCTGCAGCTCAGGTGCCAACTATTTCCTCTCCTACTCTATGCTCTGTTTATTGAATCAGTCCATTAAAAGGATGGCCATACATACCCCAGTCCCTGCAAGCAGTACACTTGATTAGACAGAGAGGACGTTGAAGGGCTTTTCTATGGAGCAATGAGTGTGTCCAGCTGTGCTCACTATTGCACACAGGGATTTTTCAGCTTGACATTAAAGAACTACGGACAAAACTTTTATTAATCCTTGCAGTGGGACTACCCCCACACTGCAAGGGTTAAGTGCTCGTTTTGGTCTAGGGAGAAAAATAACAAAGTTATACTCACCTGATCCTCTGAGCTGTCTGTCACAGCGCTCCCTCCAGCCTGTCTCTTCCTCCTCCGCAGTGATGGAATGTCCCTTGTCATCCTCATGCCCTGTACACAGTGTATAGAATGTGATGACTCCGGGACCTTACTTAGACCACTGCAGTGGAGGGGGAGGGAGGCTGAAAGGGCCAGTCTAGGAGCCAACTTGGAGGTGCAGGTGAGTATAGCTTTTTGTTTTTGGAATCTTAATGAAAACGAGCAGTTAACCCTTGCAGTACGGGCGGTAGACCCACTGCAAGGGCTAATAAAAGTTATTTAAACAAGAAATTAAAAAAAAGCTACATTTGGGCTTTAACGTCTGCTCAAGTGGTGGGAATTTCCCATCAATTAAAAGGATATTTTTTTTGTTACTAAAAGGGAAAACTCAAATGTGTTAGTAAGACAGTGATAGAAATAGTCTTTTCGCAAAATGCAAGCTTGATTTTTTTTTTTTTTTTTGGACATACTATTACTGTAAAAATAACACCATCTGAGCAGTATTTTTAAAATGTATTCTATTTCTTCAAATGATCCCTTATAACTAAAAATGAAAACCTCCCTGTGGACTAAACCATTAGACTAAGCATGAAGGTATAAGACAAATGAAAGAAGAAAAAAAAACAACAAAGCCCGACATGAGATTACCACTTGCCAGCCATGCCGCTGTGAGCTGATTTCATCAGGTTGTAACCAATTCCCTCCTCCTCCTGTGAAGTGGACTTCTTTTCAGTCTGTTTGGCAGTAAGAGTTGATAGGAGAGGTGTTGAAAACTAATCAGTGTCCAATGAGCCAAAAGGTAAAATGGAGCACTCTATCCTGTTCTACACACTGACATTTATTCCTGGCTACTGCTGTGTGTCTTTTAACATATCCAGTTAACAAGCTCCCAAATCTATTCTGTGATCTAGAAAGCAAGCCAAAATTATATTTCCGCAAAAAGGTTACTTTTTATTAACTTTAAAAAAAAGGTTAAAGAATAGGTTAACCAACATGGTTTATAAATGTACTTGTAATGCTGATTAAAAAAACTAAACATACAATTTACAAAATTATCAGTATAGCTACTTCCTACTTTCATATATTTTTGTAAAACTAATACAAAAGTGAGATGAGTGTGTTTACTATAAAAAATATTGTAAAAGTGTATGTCCACCCAAAACTTTTTTGAGGGAGGTTTGATTTAAGTGGGAAAGGATTAAAACCCCTGTCTAGATTTTACTGTGTCGCTGTTGGAGAATTTGGTGTACCTTCACTGAGAAAATAAGCAAGGGTACATTTCTCTATGACAACCCCAGATAACAGTAAAATCATAAAAGGGTTTTAATTAAGTTTTTGCATGACACTTTAAAACTAAAAAGAAAACATTCCATGCAAATACATTTTTTATATTTAAAATGTTACAATAAAACAAAAAGAAATGGAAGTATGAAAGGAAAAATCCTCTTAAACTTTGTTTAAACTCACAGTACTGATAACAGCTAAACACCTAGAAGTATTAAATAACTAGAGATAGTGCAGGACATTGAGAAGAGTGGCATTGTTGAGATATTGGGACAATGCATTTTATTATAGAGTCTGAAACACATTTCTGCACATGTACTCTATCTGTTTCCTATAGAGCTTTGCTCAGTTAAATGTTTGCCAGAAATTCCTTGGGTCATTTGAAGATGACAACACAGTGCTACATATAAATAACTCTGTGTCATAAGTATGGCTGGCATTTGGTCTATGAAACTTTATCCATTGCTTTTAATTTGCTGGATTGGAATAATGCAATGGGCTACTTTTTATCAATAGATAAAGTAATTTATTTAGTAAATGTTTTCTTTTTAAATGAAAAGAAATATATGAAGATATAACATTAGTATGAGTGTGGGGATACAACAATTAAGTATGCTGTAGAGCAGGGGTCAAAATTTCAAGTCCTGAGCTACTAGCCAGGCCTTAAGAGTTACTCGCCACCAGCTGCCCACCTAACCCCTACCCTACCGCGGCCTTAACTCCGCCCCTAAACACACCCTCTTAAATAATCTTATCAATGAGACTGTTACATGCTGTATGCAGAATAAAGTTACAAGAATAAATATTAACAACTTTAACAATATTACCATAAAGCTCCCTGCCCCACATATAAAATAATACACTCCCCCTGTTCTGTGCCCCCCCCCTCACGTATAAAATAATACACCACTCCGCTGTCCCCTGCCCCCACACATAACATAATAATCCCCCCTGTTCCCTGCCCCCCACACACAACATAATCCCCTCTCCTTGTTACCTGCCCCCACAATGTAAAATAATACAAGGAAGCTCCCTCACCTGCTTGTCTTTCTGCAGGGAGGAGGCGAGCAGGCAGATCCCTGGTGATCTAGTGTGATTAGTAAGGTCTGCAGACCTTAGTAATAACTTAGTTTTCGACCCGGAGCTCAGTGAAGAGCTCTGGCCGAAAGGAAAGGAGACAGACCAGCAGGAGCAGCTGCTCCCACAAGACAGGTACGCGATCTGCGACCGCAAGCCTGACAGGAATTTCAACTCGCCTGCACTGCATTTCCACTCGTCAAATGCGAGCAGGCGAGTGGAAATTTTGAGCCCTGCTATAGAGTAAGAAAAAGTGTATAACCCATAGAGACTGATCCCTTCACAATAGAATAAAAATTAATAAAATGGTTTGTCAAGTCACCATGGCACAGACAGCTAAACAATACTAATAGCAAATACACTGCCTGGCGAAACAAAAAAAAAAGGTTGCCACCTAAGCAGATAGGTCAGAGCCTTCCATTGGATAATAGGTCTAGGTTCAGCAATGTTATGTCCCCAAAAATGAGGTCAGGTGCCTACCTGAATATACTGAATGACCAGGTTTTTCCATCAATTGATTATTTCTTCCCTGATGGCATGGACGTATTCCAAGATGACTCATCGGGCTCAAATTGTGACAGAGTGGTTCAGGGAACATGAGACATAATTTACACCCACGGATTGGCCACCACAGAGTCCAGACCTTAACCCCATTGAGAATCTTTGGGATGTGCGGAAGAAGACTTTACACAGTACTCCAACTCTCCCATCATCACTACAAGATCCTGGTGAAAAATGAATGCAACTCTGGACACAAGTAAATGTTGTGACATTACATAAGCTTATCAAAACGATGCCACAGTAAATGCGTGCCGCAATCAAAGCTAAAGACGGTCCAACAAAATATTAGAGCATGAGAGGCTGTATATTAGTCAGGCTGTATATTTATTAGTAGTCCTTAAAAATACACACACTGATATAAGCCAATATAGCATAATCCATGGCCAGCCAACCAGATACATAATTGCATAATACTAACTTAAATGAATACATTCTGGTACTGTAAATAATTAAGTCCGCATGCAAATTAGTTATATAGATGTTACAGTATATGATATTAGTATGAAAGGTCCACAAGCCCTTAAAGTCACATTTTACCTTGTATCACAGTGGAAATAATGTCTCTACCCCAGCGTTTCTCAACCTTTTTTTCAGTCATGGCACCTTTTAAAAGTATCCAAAATCTCAAGGCACCCCAGTCCAAAATGTAAAAAATTATGTGTGGTCCCCCCAAAATCAGTACCAGACCTTTTCCCAGGCAGGGATCTTGTTTGGGGGGCCAAAGGCAGAGAAAAAAAAGACGACATGGAGTTTCCCCTTTACATCAGAGTCCCCTTTTACCTCAGAGCCCTCCCCCCCCCTTTAACATTAGAGCCCCTCCTTTTACATCAAAGCCCCCCCTTTTACAGCCGAGTCCCTCCTTCCACATCACAGCCCCCCCCTTTCACATCATAAGGTCCCCTTTAGCAAAAATTCAAAGGACCCGAGATGATGCCAGGGGGCACCCCAGAATGTGGAACCTTAGTTTTTAAAGGCTGCTCTACCCAACATACTGATAATGTAAGAGCTAGATGTTTCTCTACCACAGACGTGCACTCTTCTGCATACTCTTGTGCTCATCCTTCCTTCACCATGTACTTCATCAGTTAGCACTTCCTTCACCATTGCTGAATACCTAGATAGTAGTTCAGGACTCAACATTAATGTGCACAATCATTTCCCAGGCCTGCACTGTTTCTCCACACACATTCTTGTACAAAAACATTTGAAATTATGTAAATTTAATGGATAACATATGTATCACATCTCAGAGGAAAGAGTGTGCTGGCAGTAAAGGTGATGCCAATTAGAAGAGGGAGCGATAACTGTTCTGTTTGACAACTAAAAAAGTAGATGTAATGTCATGTCAGTAACACGGATATTTTCTTACATTAATAGAGGAGAAATAGTATCATATTACTTCTATGATTAATGCTGAACTGCACACAAACATCTAAATATACAGTAGAGATACAAATATGCAAGTATTGTACCTGTCAAAGGATTTATATTTCTATCCAGCTAGTCTTGGCATTTTCCACAGCTCAGTCACATAGCAGAGCCAAGGCATGGCACCACTTTTTCTGTTAGAAACACTGACTGAAACTACCCTTCCCCTAGCCTGTTAATAGGATAGTTAAGGAGCAGTAGGAGACTGATGAAGTCTTCTCTCTGATCACTCTACTCAACCTGTTCTTTTTCAGCATATTTACATGGCTCGTCAGATTGGTTGTCAGTGCTACCCCAATCTAATGCTGCTTTACAGAGGATGTATTAATGAATACAGAATGTTTTAGTTTGTGTCTATTATATTTGGGGTTCAGATTTAATTACTGCTGGAATATGATTAAAGGGAATCTTCCACTCACAACAAAACAGGCAAATTTGTGACAATTCGCATTGTTTACTTCCTTTCCAGGTATTGGCACTGTGGATGGCACAGCAGAAAAGGACAAAGACTTTAGAGGGAAGGCTCAGAAACAAGTCCAATTTAATCCAGGTCAGACCACAGCAACTTGGAGAGTCCGCATCATGACTGATGGAGAGTATGAACAATCTGAAACCTTCCAGATAGTTCTATCAGAGCCTGTCATGGCGGCCTTGGAGTTTCCAGAAGTGGCAACAGTGGAGATCATTGACCCTGGAGATGGTATGGATAGTACATGTTTTGTTTATTTAGTAAGACACTGCTAAGAACACTAAATACATTTAAATTGTAATAACCTATGGCAACTAACCACATTTCAGTTTACTGTAGGAGGAAAATGGACGTGATGTTGTATTAGTGATGTGTTATTGACAGAAGAGCTATTTGTCAGAAAAAAATGCCAGAGAAGCTTATAATTCAGAAATAAATACAGGCTACATCCTCTTGAACTCATTATTATGTTATATTGGGGGCTTTTGTTTTGTCTGATCATGACTAAAGTTAAAGGAGAACTATGAGGTGAATGAAAATCACTCATCGAGCCGACGTGTGACAATTAAACTGTCACACGTTGTCTCAATAGATCGGGAAATGAGCGAACGCATACCGTTGCTCACTCACTTCTGGATCATGTCCCTGCAGAGAGCCGTGACTGTCAGTCACAGCTCCTTGCAGGGATTCCCGCCTCCCCGCTCCGATCCTCCAGCGCTGACTGGAGGAACGGACGGGGGAGAGGCAGGTACAGCTGGCTCTGCCTCTAGATAGGCAGAACCAGCTGTCACTCATGCAGCTGGGTGGATCTCGACAATAATGTCGGGATCTGTCCTGGCTGCGGTGGTCTCAGTATATCGCGAGCTGTAGCTCACAATACACTGAACTTTGGGTCACGAGAGGATGCTAGTATATGTCCTCCCATGACCCTTAAAAGAACTATGGGGAAAAACACTTACCCCATAGTCCTCTTTTTTAAGCTGGTTTAGAAAGTGTAGTTAGAAAGGGTCTAATATTGTAATTCTACATGTAGCAGTCATTGTGCTCAAGCCATTGCTTAAATGATGCTTTAATAAAAGGGCCACAAATCACTAAGTCACATACATAAGGATTGCAAAAATTTTAATTAAATGATGCCCTTGGAAAACTGCTTATTTCTAAAGCGAACACACAATAGGGAGCACAATATCTGGACCCCAATCAATGGAAAAAGTAATTTAGTCTGAGTAATGTTTTACCCTGCTTGGATTTTCCAGATGGGTTGATCTTTGGAGGAATCCAAAAGTTGTTGTTATCTGTTAAATGTAGAGGGGGAACTATAATGACATGGACAGCCATCCTAGGAGGGCCTGTAGGAACAGTGGTCATGTATAGTTGTATAATGGCCAAAGAGTATGCAGGCATTTTCTTAACCTTATGATGCAAACATTGTTCGGTCATAATGTTACCATATTCCAAAACGGTAATGTCCCAATGCATGCTACTAAACAAATTCAAGATTGGTTGCATTAATATCAGAATGAAGTCAAGCAACTTCCATTGCATCCTTAACTGCTAGAAGTAAACATCATAGGAACTTTATGGAAAATCTCAGATAACATTCGAAGGAAAATTATTGCATTCTTCACTCCTAAAACTTCACTCCACTCTTTCCTACGTCTTTAAAACTATGCACCCTTTGCATACTCCCCTGGTCACCTACATACAGTAAAAAAGTGGCCAAAAACAATGTAGTGTTACATTTATAACTTACTTTGTTTATTCTGTCCTCAAGTCAACCTTGAAAAGGTTGGTTTATAGGAAATCTAACAGTGAATAACTAAAATTACTCACCCCTGGAAAATAATGCACACACAGAAATGTCATGTTTAGAACGAGACAGGAGAGCTGGTTTGTGTAAGGTGATTCTTTTAGGAGTGAAGAAGTGATAAAATGATTGCTAAATGTAACTTAGTAGAGATAAGTGATAAAGAAGGCATGCACTGGCAGGGGTCCTGCTCAACATCTGGTTTTTATTCCTGGCCCTCATTCAAGAGGTGAACATTAAGTGCCTCCATGCTGTGATCTGCACTTGTAGGCGATGCCTCTGTATCTTTCAGTTCTCATTTTATTAGGTCATATTTAATGGTCAGTGGTGGAATTCCGTATGTTTCTATGGTTATAATACCCAGTGCTCTTCACTTTACACTTTGGGAAGACTTTATTTGCCTGTAACCAGGTAGTCCATCGTACCCACCTGTAAGCTACTGAAAAGCACAGTTTGGGCTTTTGTCTGTGGAACTCCTTTCCCCCGGGGTCTGAACGAAATAATCAGTGTTAATTATATTAAATAACTTGCCCATGTTAGATAAAAAAATATCCTTTATTAGAGCCTAATTTATCAGTATTATGATCATTTTCTCCTGAAAAGTTTAGTTTACAATTAGGTATGGACATTATTTAGCACTGGAAATTTGTGCAAATAACGTGCAACATAAAAAACAAGCCCCAAGGGAGGGTGTGACAGGTCCTTTTAATGGAGACATCAGGGCTCTGTTAGACCCCTGATGTCATCTATGTCATCTGGAACAGCAGCTGTGATCTTGGTATACCTTCTTCTGGTTAAACCACCGTTTATATGCTATTAGTAGTCCTTAAAAATACACACACTGATATAAGCCAATATAGCATAATCCATGGCCAGCCAACCAGATACATAATTGCATAATACTAACTTAAATGAATACATTCTGGTACTGTAAATAATTGACCCTGAGACGGTTAAGCAGGACTGAGACAGACAGAAGTTTTGGTAGAAATAGGCAGCTTTCCATATATTAAGCCCTCCAAGCTACAGAACCAATTCTCCTTTTAGGCATATAAGGGGAAAACATTAGTTTAGACCCGTGTTCTTTAATGCAATTCCTGTTTAAAACGCTCCTCATCATAAATCATAGGTTTCAGAGGCAATGTGAAAAACAGTTACAGAGTTTTATTACTGAGTTAATGGAAAGCATTTTTATTATACAACTTTAAACTAACAAATGTTGTTTTGCTTGTAAAGGATGCCTGTCAGGCTCGCTGTGGCCTGGCATTTTCTTCAGCCATTCAGGGAATGTGCACGGTTGTAGTTATAATAAAAAGTGAAAACAGCAACCTCAGCAGCTTTCACTAGATTGCTGACCAGTGTATTTCCTTCAGCTGCATATGAGAGCTTCAGCAGCAGTGAAAATGCATCAGCCTGTTTTGTTTTTTTGTTTATTTATCTATACCAGTGTAACTGTTGGTCCACAGTTTTCTTACTGCAGGAAAATGATGGTTGGTAATACTCAAGTATACATGTATGGCCCCTCAAAATCAGTGGCCTGACTGCAATAAGCACACACTCCTTTTGAAGCCCTAATTCTAATGGCCACAGCCTTGTGAACCCTAACACTAGCAGCACCCACAACCCTGTTCCTCTACCCTAACTTAATAATAACCTATCCTCAAGTACAGTAGTACCTCTAAGCTGTCCTTGACATTACCCAGTAGAGGAGAAGTTCTCATCAGAGTCCTATCTGGGGGAACATACATTTCTGAATACAGTTGCTCCTTACTTATAATAGTTTTTTGAAATACAGTATATATACACTGAGTGGCCAGATTATTATGACTACCCCATCAGTACTTCGTTGGGCCACGAGATAACTCCACGAGATGACTTCGTTGGGCCGCCTCGTGACTCCACCAGATGTTGAAAGGTGATGCGAGGAATCTGACACTGCAATGTTGTCCTTCTGTTGTCTTGTACCAGTCTTGCCACTCTCCATTCTGCCCTAACATTGACCAGTCGCTGACGGCCACAAGTCGCACGTTCAGACCCAGTCAGCTGACAGTCCAGTCTTTAAACACTTTAACAATGAGCCCCTCTTGAACATTTAACGAATTCTGCTGTTTTGCTGATACTCACTCCATGGCTCGCGCCAACAATCAACCCACGTTCAAAGGCTGTTAAATCGCGTTGTTTACCCATATCTTCAGAAAAAAATTACTTCTACTGTCGTGGTAAACAACCTGCTTCCCTATTTACAACTTAATGCTTTGTGTTCAGACGGGGCATTAGGAAGTTATAGTCAGAGTGAGAGACAGTCTAAAGGCAAGCAGCTACTGTAAATTCTATGTCATGGATACCCCCTGTATAGTTTCCATAGTCAGGGGCGTCCAGAGGCGGACACCCCGCCATGACGTCATTGCGCATGCGCGTTACATCATCTTGCGCAATTACGTCATCGCGCATGCACGGCAGGGAGAGGAGGGGACGTTCCCCCGGTGGGATGAGGTATGCCACCGGCTCCCCTCCTCTCTCCTGACACTGTCGGGCTCTCGGCCATTGACCGAGTGCCCGACTGTCAGTGATTTTGTTGTCACCCCTCCAATGGTGTCACCCGGGTGCGGGCCGCAACCCCACACCCTGTCCATAGTTCCATAGTTTTTAATTAAAACAAAACTGAAATGTTTCCATCTTTATGATGAAGCCAGCCTGTAAGCCATGACTGTAGGGTAATTTGTTGGATTCATATTTATTACCTATGTTCTGTTATGGCTGTATCCCAGGATTTTCTCATCCTCTGTTTAATAGAGTTGTGATGACCTAGGAGCGCAGAGAGAGAGAGCACACAGAGGCGAATCACATGGGATCCAACATGTGGGGTGTTTATTGGGGAAATTCCAGTGCACAGAAGTGGGTGCAAGCTACGGGTGTGGTACAGACAGGGAGACTCAACACAAAATATGGGGTAGTAACAATTGAGTCCAGGGTCACAGGGCACTCCAGGCACAACAAGGGTTCAGAAGCAAGGACACTGGGCAACAGTTCATAGGGCAGAAGGCACAGGCACAGCAAGGGACAGGAGACAAAAGTAAGCAATTCACACAGGTGTGACAATCTGGGACAGCTGGTTGGGTTGGATTTGCGGGGGGGAGATCCAGGCATGGTGATCTGCACAGTGAGGCTTGCAGAGTCCTACTAGAGATAGGTCCTGGGAGAAGGTGAAGATCCAGGGTGACCTGGCCGCAGCATCAGGTACACTAGGTAGCAGGCAGCAGAACACAGGGGCAAAGAACGAGGAGGGCAGAGTGGCACTTCTGGAAGCTCCTGGGTGAAGCGGTTGGAGGCCTGGTCGCAGATTCAGGTCCACACAGGTCACAGGCAGCAAAGGGTCTTGGTGTCCAGACAACAGTCCACAGCTAGTAAGGAACTACAAACCCCAGCAGTTCCCAATCACAGAATACATGCATGCAGAACTATATGTCCCAGCAGTTCTCATCTGCTTCTAGTCTCCTTCCAGTGAGAACCTCCACCCAAAGTAGCCACCCTCCAGAAGGAAGGACAGTGTCAGCACCAATTCAGAGATGATTCGAGGATCTACAGCCGAGTGATACACAAAAAAGATACATTTTTGTTAATAGTTAAGGTTCTTGAATGCATTTTTAGGGTTTATCTATTGAGTTTAGTGTCACTTTACATTTGTCACCAAAACAAAGTGAGAGTAAATCTTCCAATGAGGACACCCATTCTGGTGACAACTGTCTAAGAAGGGAACACCCCTTACTGTAGAGATTTACTCTCGCTCCCTGTTGCACCTCCGGAACTAGGAGTAAAGTGGAATCTCCCTAACGGAGCACAGACAGTAAAGAATAAACTGACAGGGGTTGTTACGTTTAGTGTCACTTTAATGTTCTTGACAGATTGAATCATATATGTAATTTCTGCCTATAGTTCCACATGTGGTTTGATATAAAGATGATTCACTAATACACATTTATAAATAATAAAAACAAGTATGGTGGTGCTGCACAATGTTCAATGCAGTATGTACACATGTACATACATTTCAAGTGTATTTGCAGGAATTTTAATAGCAGCATCCACTAGTTTCGACTGTACAATCTCCTGTATGGCCATGGTTACCAAATAAACCCACACATTTCACAGAGCAGAGAGCTGTCTTCTGCAGAAGTTGGATGATAGATGGATATAGCATATTTAAGGAATTTACACATACATGAAGATAAGGTTATGACAGATTTAAATGAATTGTTTGTATCCTCCTATCAGGTGCATTATATTGCACATAGTATTTCCCCAAGGATATACATTAGATTGCAGTAAGTCTCACACTGACTGATTGGTATTTTAGAAAATCCTCTGGGACATCTGTGCTAGCAATAAAAGCTTTCGGGAGTTTAGTTACAAGGTGCAATATTAAATGGGATGCACATATTTCAGTGGGCTTACATGCAGGCAGCCATTTTAGATAAAGGATGATTAGAGAGTAGAGTGATCTGTCAGATGGTGCAGGCTTCCTGCTTATAATTAGGACATATACCAGTTATTTATTACCTGCTGATGCTCTGTCAAGATCATGGAGCTGATACTGTACATACATATCTGCACGTGTTTTTTTTCAGATTACTGTCTATTCAACAGTTAAGTGCTGTACACCAAGAGGAAGAATCATACACCGAAAGCGGTGGTGAAAAAGGAAGGAGTTACCTATAGCAACCAAAGTTCATTTCCTACTATGGAACCGAAAACTGTCAGTTGGATTCTGGTTGCTATAGGTAGAAAAGCAATGGAAGCATAAATCCTTATTTTCTTTGTGTCCTCCATTCAAAGTTCCTTCAATGTGGACTGCACTTGACTGTGGCCCGTCTAAGTAGCAAGTTAGCTTCTTTGACTGTCTCCTTAGGATAGACACATAGCAGTCAGTGTTATAGTACACTTTTAATGAAAGAGAGCTACTATTGCTGGACTCCTAAATATGCTAGTTGTCTGGCTGTGGCTGGTTGGAGTACTTCTAAGTCACTGATTCAGAACAAGCATGTAGCAAATGAGTGTCAACAAAATGTCAAAATGAATATTCTCTATACTTGCTCTAGGTCTAACAAATCATAGTAAAGAAATAAAACCACCAGCATGACAGCTGAGCAGCTGGCATTTTTTAGGTAGGAGGTCAGCAGTGGTAGCCTACATACAGGAGTTGGCCAGGAGCGAATGCCACCTGAGATGTCTGTTTTTGCCAATCCTTCTGTCAGTACCACCTCGGTTGACCTCATTAAAGGAACGACCCTGCCTACATAATTATTTCATGACAAGTAGTCTTTAAAAACACACTGTTAGCTGGCCAATGCATGGCAAAGGGATAGTACCTCTGGAAAGGGCATCCCCCAACCCCCATATACTCATCTTACCTTCACACCTTCTCAGCGCCTTGCTTATCTGCAGTTAGACACCCCAGGGTCCGGTGACATCACGTCCTCGATCACATGACAGTGTTTGGGTCTAGTGATTGACTCCTATTCCTGGGCACTGTCACAGGGGAGCAAATCTCATGCTCCCGCATACTTGAAAGTGCTGTGTATTGCATTCTTGCTAGTTGCGGAGGAGAAAGAAGCTGCAAGGGAATGTATAGGTACAGTCAGGACCGGATTTACTCTTTCTGATGCCCCAAGGCCAGGTTGCCTCCTGTCACTTCCTATACAGGAGTTCTAGCACAGTACTGTGCTGGAACTCCTCTGACAGCTTAGAGGGGAAGGCTCTCCCCTCTCACTGTTTACACAGAGCAGAGCAGTAAACGGACGTTCTCCGCTCTGCTATCCGCTCTCCACTCTGAAGATCTCCGGAGAGAGGCGGATGGCAGGGGTGGACCGGCAGTCTTATTACAAGTGATCATAGCGACATCGCCGAGATCACTTGTAAACGAACAAGCGGCTTCCCCGAAAGCAGGACTAAATGTAGAGAACAACTAACCGCCTGGCGCCCGTAACTACATGTCCCGGACGTCGGGAGATTCTACACTCCTGCCGCCCCGAGGCAGGGCCTCAGTGGCCTTGTCGGAAACCTGGGCCTGGGTACTGTGAGTATAAGGGGGTAGAGGGATGACCTTTGCAGAGGCACTGTCACTTTGCCATGCATGATCAAGGTGATAGTGGCTCTCTAAATGCAACAGAAACTATGGAATTATATAACTGGAACTCAGGGACACTAGAGACGAGCGATCCTCTGTAAAGTTCTATCAGTTTTGGTTCAGTCAAATATTTTTAAATTTGCGATACTCTGAATATTTTACTCAATAAACTATTTATTTTTTTAATGTAGATAGAATATGTCCTAAGACATGTTCCTAACACATGTATATGTTGATTGTTGGCATAATTTTAACATTATCTCAGTGTACCTTTTTATTCTTCTTGTGTTGTTTTTTTTTTTTTTTTCATTTTAAAGCTTGAGGTTTTAATTTTGAGGTGCACCTTAAAGTTCTATGTATTCATTTTGGATTATTTCCTTTCTCCACTATCTAGAATCAACCGTGTTTATACCTCAGTCAATCTATAAAATTGAAGAAGATATTGGTGAGCTGTTTATTCCAGTCAGGAGAAGTGGGGATGTCAGTCAAGAACTAATGGTTATATGTTTCACACATCAAGGTAAGAGTGTTTCCTTAAATGAACAAAAGTGTCACATTTATACAAGTGTACTAAAAATTATCAGGCACAGTGACTGCATTGCAACCATCCATTGACAATATCATTGTTAGGCATCATAAATGTTGTAAAATGAAGGTGTCTTTGTAATATTGGGCTAGTTAAATTTCCATGTACACTATAAGACCGAAAGTGAGTGGAACCCTGACCATCACACTTATATGAGCTTGTTGGACATCCCATTCCACAACCACAGGCATTGATATGGAGTTGTCTTCCTTCCTCCTTTGCAGCTATAACAGCCTCCACTCTTCTGGGAGGGCTCCCCACTAGATTGTTGGGTGTGTTTTTGGAAAGTTGTGCTCATTTAGCCAAACATAGCAATTGTGGGGTGAGGTAGTGATGTTGGAGAAGAAGACCTGGCTTGCAGTTGGCATTCTAATTCATTCCAAAGGTGTTCAGTAGGTCTAAAGTTAGGGCTCTGTGCAGGAAACTCAAGTTCTTCCATACCTAACCTGTCAAACTCTGTCTTTATGGACTTGGCTTTGTACGGTGGTACTTACTCATTTTGAGGATTTCCACATACCTTACAGTGTAGAAAACACCTCTATATGATAGCTACTTCTTTTTGTATCTTGTGGTAAAGGAAGAACAGGAAAATCATCAGACTATGGATTAGGTATACAAGATCTTTTACTAAACATACTGATCAATTCAACAGCCACACATGACATTTCATGAACATGAAGGCCACTGAAGGGGACATTGGGGCTTGGTTGTTCCCCTAGACATCAGTTGTGGCTGTACATTTGATCAGTATACTTCACATAGTAAAGGATCTTGCATATTTGGTGCATAGTGTGCTGGCTTTGCTTGTTCTCCTGCAAACAGTGGTATCACTGTTTGCCATGCACCCACTTTGACTCTGTCTTGTGAGGTATGTGTGCAGGATTTATATTTGGGCTGCTTGTACTGGCACACTTCAGTTTTTGAATTAATGAATTGCAAGTCCAACTGACAAGCCCTGACTTTGATAGTAGTAACCGGGGTTTACTCATATTCAAAGCTCTTATTGCTACAGTAGACATTGCAGGTATGATGCTGAGTTGCAGATATACCCTTGCAGATTATGCCTAGCATCCAGCAAGAGGCAGCCTCAGGAAGTGGGGGCAGAACCCTGCCTTATTCAACTCTTAGAGGGTGCTGCCTGTGACAAAATTCTAACCTTACCTTATGACAGTATTAGCCTGTAAACAGTTTTACAAGTTATAAAGGGGATTGCTATATTATGGAAGCACAGTTAGTACTCTGAAAATATAAACAGTAGCTGTTGTAAAGCATTCAGTGCTGCTTGTTGACCCAGGTAATGATTTATGAAAACTGCAGTAGACCAACATTGATGTTTTTTAAGAAAAGTTCATATTGCCCATTCATTCAGCAAATAAAAACTCATTCTTGATTGGTTTGTCACCAGCCGCAGCCCCATTTTTCCATCACTCTGCTTTTGAAAACTCAGAATCACAGAAAGAGCATAATGGCCCGATATACAACAAGTAGTGGAAAGTGTTCCCTGGGATGAATGAGGAAGCTGTAAATGGATGAGAATGGCATGTCTAGGTGTAAAATGTACACTGGTATTTATGTCATGTCCCCGGATCAGATTCCCTACTTACTATACCAGCATGTTTGGAAAGCAGCCAAGTAAAGAATGAATAGGCAACATTTTTTAAATTGGATAGCCCAAAATACACAGGCTGTACTTAGATGTTCATATTTTGCAAACACTGTAAATCTAGGTATGTGTGTGGCCTTTATACCTATTTTGGGGAGATAAGCAGATTAATGTCCATTGGGAGGAATAGGGATTGAACAAAGCAGAAAACACCTTCTTAGTTTGTTTTTAATGTGGTAAGCTGGCCTTGAAGGCGTACACAGTGCCCCTCCTTTACTCTGCTTCAGAGATCTAAACATAAAAAGCTGCTTAATGCATTTCGGCATGCACTGGCCAGCTCTCCTCCAACTGTTATATGGTCTAAAGCCCTTTTAAAGTATAGCTAAATCCAAGAACAAACATACTGCATCTTACCAGCCCTTAGATGTTGCAGCTGCATATGTTTTTACTTTTTTTTTAGGCCTTTCCTTTATTTTCACCTGATGAACCTGTCAGTTATACACTTTTGTCCCAGGGTCTCGGGACCCTTTTTCTACTGTAAGCGGAGTTTTAATCGCAGGCTGCTTGTTTCTTATGTGAACTACAGGACATTCTCCTTTTCATCTCCATAACATTGGATAGAGGAATGTTCTGACGTTTACGGAACAATGGGCAGCAGATTCACTAGGGGGAATTTATCAAAACTGGAGCAGACAGAATCTGGAGCATTTGCCCATAGCAACCAATCAGCTTCTCTCTTCAGTTTGCTCGGGTAAGATTTGAAAATGAAAGAGAGAAGCTGATTGGTTGCCATGCACAGCTGCTCCAGATTTTCTCTGCTCCAATTTTGATAAATTCCCCTCACTGTGTTGTCAGCTTACTACAGCAAGTTATATGCTCACAGGATTTCTAGCAGGATCACCAGGTATTTGTTTATATATAACAGTTAACAGACAGATATAACAAATTATTTTAATGGCATAGAACAAAAGAGAGCAAACAGTAGAAGTTCATTGTTGGTGTTTACATACATTTTAAGTTTGTGGGGTAGTGCTAGTCCAGAAGTCCAGAATTAATTAATGACCCATTTTACTAAATTTGAAATAATCTTTTTACTGAAGAAAACAAATATTTGGTTGCAATGCTTTTTAAAAAGTATAACTTGCTATTTGTAGTAAATAATTCAGATACTTATGCAAATGTATGTCCTGGCAGTATGCAAGACTATAATATATAGCAGTACACATATGGTTATTATGCTTCTAAGGGCTATGTCACCCTAGTGCCAGCAACAGGGTCTCTGACAGGATCTCTAAGAGCCATCCACCATCATTGGTCCAACCAATTAGGTGTCGGTCCATCACTGCTTCCTCACTGGTGAGCAAGATTCTATGGCCTTGGTGTCCACCCTGACAGTTTCTGTAGCATTAAATATAATAAATATTATATGGAGCCCTATGGAGACATCAAGGGCCACATTTGAGGCAGTTGACAAGCACTGTTCCACAGCAATCCACCCAGAGAGGGAGTGATACCATAGCAGCAGGTGAGAGCTCTCTTTAGCTATCCTCTTGCTGGGGAGTTGCAGCCAAGGACAGGGTTCCTAGTGTGGCAAGACCTTATGGGCCCCTTTACACTGCAATGCATGTATTAGTATGTGTTATAATGTGTATTACCACAACCCATGATAATGTACTGTGTATATTTGAATTGCGGTGCATTTTGATTACTTCTTAATTACACTCAAACACTCTCATCTAGTGTGCTGTAGCGCCCCACAATGCACAGATATGAATGCTCCGTGCATTGCGCAGCGCTATGTTGTAAACGTTAGTGCAGGATTGATTTCTTTGTGCGTTGGGGCAGATTGACAGCCCATCAAAATGAATGGTCTGCCTAAAGCAATGCTTCAGAATACAAAAAATAGTGTGAAGGGGTCATAGATTTTGCCTGTAGCATGACTCATAATTGGATTTAAGTACTGTAGTCACAGGTTAGTTTGTTATAATAACTTTAGACATGCCTTTGGTGTGACAGAGACGGCAGATGTATTGTTAACCAGTATGTATGAAGTGCAGTTCAGACTACAGTATTAATGATACATGTTCAATCTGTTAAGACCTTACAGGTTTATCAAGGACTGCCAACTTTGGTAAACCTTAGCCATTAAACCAGGCTTGTTAGTGGTATATAAAATAAATACCAAATGATGCTATAGGTAGCTATGATAAATCAAATGAACGCCTTTCTACCTTTTACCAAAGATTTCAACTGATCAGCCGCTATACACCAACGACATGAAAGACTATGTCAGTTTACAAAATGTTATCTTGTTATTATAATGTTTGCCTCCCAGCCACATCAAAATATGACAAATTGCAAATGTTTCATGCATTCCAACTCTGTTTTACAGGTACGGCTACTGGAACCATCCCAACATCCGTTTTATCTTACTCTGATTACATATCCAGGCCTGAGGAACACAACAGCGTTTTGAGGTTTGATAAGGAGGAAAAGGAGAAAATGTGTCGTGTGGTGATCATAGACGATTCCTTGTACGAGGAAGCTGAGACTTTCAATATTACATTAAGCATGCCTATGGGAGGAAGACTGGGCACTGAATTCCCTTCAGCTCAGATTGTGATTCTGCCCGACAAGGATGATGGTAAGAAGCTTCTAATTTTACAAGTGTATACTATTCTTTAACGTGTCTTCAAAGTTCAAATCCTAATGAAGTAGGAGTGCACTAATTATGTCTGAAGGAGACGTAGACTCTGTGTTTGGTACTACCAGTGATTAAGGTTTCCTGGTATTTTGGATGTATCACATTTAAAGTGTGCTCTGCATATTTGCATTATGACAGATCTTCCTTGAGAAGCTGCCCCTTCCAGTGATGCAATGTCCATCTGTGCTTCCATCTTTTCATGGTCTTCTTCCAGGTTCTGAGTCTTCAGCCATCTTGATTTGTTGGGTCAGGAAGATATAACTCCAAGAAGAGACATACCAGTGTATCTGGTCCTTAAAAGCTGTTTACTCCAGTCCGTTGTGCCTCCATGTTGTGTGGCTGCCGTGATGGCAGCAAAGCAAGGATAGTGTTTGGAAATATTGATTCTGACAGGCTGTAACATTACCACCTGTGTTCCCTACCCTCATTCTTTACAGCCTTGAGAAATGTTCTTATGGAAATTCTTTAGAATGCCTAATTTCTTACATGTATGCCTTTATAATACATTAGATGCACCCAGGCTCTGTGTGATGGTACCATATCCGTTGTTAGTATTTTAGGGGCCCTCAAAGCGCCTTTTAATTGTAATGTTTATATTTATTTAGCATAACAAAGGTTGCTGTTTTTATTATCAATGTATTATCCGGAATTATGTCCACAATCCATATACTGTATAATGTCCATACAACTCACATAGGTCCAAATTAATATAAATTCATATGTGAAGGGTAATTTAAGGATTTATGAATGCATTAAAATCAGAATGTCGCTTAAGATTGAATCATTGCACCTGGAAAGGGTTAAAACCCCAACAAATGCTGACTCCTGTGTGTCCCTGCAAACCAAACAAGGGGCTAAAAAATGAAACATCACAATCTAGGCCCTCCTTTCCCATCCAAATGCATTCACATATATGTGGAGAACTCACACCTCCAAAATAGATGGATAGAGCTTGAGGGACAACTTTCCCCCGGAGCAGCATGGCTTGGGAGGAAGAGGGCATGTGTGGAAGGTAACCACCTTTAAATTCCACAAACATGGCACCCAAAAAAAGCAAGCGCACTGAGCCCGGCGGCTGTGTGCCGAGATGGCACTCTGCATCATCTGCAGCTGGACAATGTGCAGTTCTCTTGAAGAGCTACTGATGCCTGAAGGTTCCTCTGAATCTGACACTTCCGCATTGTGGAATGCCTGTGTTTCCTGTCAAGTGCTTTGGCTCCTTCTGCTGGTCCCAACATTGCTACATGACACACTGGTGCCATACTGCGGGAAAGAACCACAGCACTAAGCAAGGCACCAGGCATCCATCCCACCCGGAAGTGTGTCCGATACAGAAGATTGTTTGGCAGTGGTAGGCAGCAAGGAGTGGCAGCATAGGAAGTGGGACAGATAAGTATTAGCTGTGTTTCTTTTACAGGCACTACTATGTTTAAGTTTTCCTGAAGCAGCACAATCACTTTATTAATTTCAGCAGATAGATATTTGAATTAGTATCTTGATTTTATATTAGCCTGAAGACAAGTTCATTTTTTGAAAGTGAACTTATTATAACATAAGACCCTTCCCACCCAGATCTTTTAATGTTTTATAGCTGATAATACCATTTTCATTTAGCATGAAATCCCCATAAAATCATCTGCTATTCCAAAGCATGTTATCTATTTTTTCTTGCTGCTGCCTTTTTTAAATGGCTGTTATGTGTGAAAGCAAAACAATTCTGTAACATCTGAGCAGACATATGCATGTCTGTGATTTGTGTAGTTATGTGACATTTATATCCAAGATCAGTCGGTTCTGTGAGTGTCTCTAAACTCCATGCACAGATGAAGTGTGGGCTTACTGACTTTCAGCAATACCTCCATGATCTTTTCCATTACTTTACATCAGCTCAACTCCCACCTGATCCACACTATAAAGTCAGCACATTGCTGAAACCCAGGGTGAGTGCTATGGAGGAGGATATTTGTATGTGCTGTCAGAGAAGACGTATTAATCAATGACAAGCTAAATTGTGCAGCTCATTAGAGCAGAACGTTGGAGTGGACACTAAAAACAGCACCATTATTTGTAGTTCTTTGTAGTGCTCATTGAAATGTTTACTTGCCTGTCTTCAATGAATGCTCATCATTATATACAAACAACCCCTAAAGGCTGCAAATGATGTAGCATTCCTTTAATCACAAGCTGTGGAACATTTTGCTATATATCACCTGCTTCATGAAAAGTGTCGGCACTACAGAGGATAGAAAGCTGGGACTGGGAGGCTCATGATTTGTCTTGGTTGTAATGGGCCAAAAATTCCACTTTGAAAGGTTATGTCCATGCAAATGTGAGGTTTACTGGGAGGTGAGCAGTAAAGAAGAACAAGCTAGGAAATTAGTTTCCAAGCAGCACGCTTATTCCTTAGTTCAACACCGATATAAATCAATCATCATGAGCATTGTTTAAACCTCTTCCCATCTGTAGATTAACATTCCCCTGCATGATGTCCAGAACAGAGGGATCTCTGATCTCCATCCCCTTTTGTAGCTAGGAGCATGCAGAGCTGCTAATGATAATCGGGGGGGAAATCAGAGTGTTACCCTAACATGTGATTAGCTATTTTTTGGTGATCACATTACTTTTTTTATAAACAATACCATGTTAGTGAAAGCTGCAACAGTTTGAGGTGCACTCAGTGTGGACCTAGAATGCAAAACTGTTCTCACCATTGCTGCATACATTTTACTGGAGTGCTCCCAAATTTGCTGCTCATGTTGCCTTTCACAATCTCGGATGTCAACGCTTAGGCTACTTTCGAGAGCATGCCCCCACCTTGTATTCAGCAGCCATAAAAACCCAAAATCTATTTTATAAAATAATAAATGATAACAGCTATCATGATTACTCTCCACTGATGAATACAATGTGATAGGGAACTGTTATCTAGGGTCGTACAAGGAAACAGTGGTCATGTCAGGGCCCGGGGAGAGCAGCGAGAGGAAGACTGTCATAAGGAGCCTCTGACACACCTTGGAATGTCAGAGGTGGCCCTATATAGTGGGGCAATTTAATCAGTAAAGGGGGGCATGAATTCTGAATGGGACAGGGGAAACAGAAATTGTTCCTTTTGTATATTCATTCATACTAATGTCCCTTCAGTGTCAAAGATGGTGACAGTATAACTGTCTTTTGTTGAAATTATTTAATAAAAATAACAAAAAGCATGTTAACATTTTTTGGTCCATGTGCGAGCCAGTAATTAGAAATATGACTGAGCATTGAATTAAACTTTGTGCCAAAAAAAAGCCTTAGATGTTCCTAACAAAATGTAAACATTTTGTAAGTAAGCAAATTAGTTTTTGCATAATTGTTAACTGACGCATACTGACACAGCTAAATTTTGTCTGGACATCTAGTCATCAATGGTCACAAAAGGGTTAATTAGCAGGGAGTTAAACCAAGAAGTAGTAGGGTGATCCACCTGGCTATACAGTGTGATAATCATAATGATGGTTGAACAAAACAATAAATATTTTGCAGGTAAAACAGTGAACAAATACAGTACATATTTCAACTATGTGTTTATTTCAGCCCTGGACAAATTCCAGGGGCCAGGTAGTCAATGGTTCTTAAATATTAGAGCTGGTGCCAGGGTCGTAACTAGAAATCACAGGGCCCCATAGCAAAATTTTGTATGGGGCCCTGTGATTTCTGGTTACGCCCCTTGCAGAGCCCACCTGAGATCCCAAAAAGCCAGAGAGTGACCCTGTGGAGCCCACCATAGACTCTCTATGGTGGGCTCTGTAGGGTCTCAGTTGGGCTGGTCACACCCCTGCGCACCTATTATCTGTCAGCCCGATCCCCTGTTAGCCTCCTCCACCACCGGGCCCCGCCTCCTCCACGGTCGCTGGCGGGCCCTGCCTCCTATGTCGCCGGCCCCCGCCTCCTCCACTGCCGATGCCAGGCCCTGCCGCCTTCTCCGCTGCCGACACCGGGCCCAGCCTCCTTCTCCTCTGCCGCTGCTGGCTGTCTCTGACTCAGCAGCGGCTGTGAGGTGGAACGCACCGCTGAACAGATCACTGACATGTTGTCAGTGATCTGAACAGTGGCGTGTTCCTCCTCACAGCCGCCAGTGACAGCCAGCAGCCTGCAATGCCATAGTGACTCAGGCGGCCCAGACGGCATGAGGGGGACTCATTTGTTCCTCATCCTAGCCGGGCCCCCCTGTGCCCCAGGCCCCATAGCGGCTGCCTAGTTCGCTATGGCGATAATTCCGCCACTGGCTGGTGCCTAGCTTTTGAGGCTTTCTCTAGTTATCAGTAGAGCTGACTCAAAGCTTTTACAAAGTTACACTGTACTTCAGGTTAAAAAAATAAACAATTGAGTTTAACCAGCAGAAGAAAAAAAATGACTTAATGGAAATAACAGAAATCTTCCATGAACTGAACCTGTTACCCGCAGTTGATCCAGAGGAAGGCCAAAAAGTGTATAAAGCTTGGTTTAATTTGCTTCAACAGAGAAAAAAACGTCTTTCCTAATCCCCTAAAACAATTCCCTGAATCAACAGTCTCTGGGGTTATTAATTATAAAATGTTAGTATACAGTTATATCATGTTAATTTAGAAATGTATCTAGATTTTATTTAAAACAATTAACTGAGCTGGCTAGAACTAGTTCCAGAGGCAGCCTAATCCACTCTTTCACAACTCTTACTGTGAAGAAGCCTTTCTGTATGCAGAAAGGCCTGTTATGAGCACCTCTCCAGCAACCCATGTCTCCTACCTTCTCTCTGTTAAAGCTCTGCAGTCTCAATCAGACTCTTCAGCACGCTGTGGTTCCCTCATCTAGCCTCCTACATCACTCCGGGTCACAGCAGTGTCTTGGGAATTGGAGGATGAAACCATGACAAGGAGGGAGGAGGAGAGACAGACATCTGCCATTCTAGAAGTGTCAAATGC